CCCCTCCTAGGTATATGTGATGCATACTTTAGCAGCTTCACTTTCTGCTTGTATTTATCAGTGCCTTTGTGGTAGTCATAACTACAGGTAAGTACCTTTTTCTTGAAATTTAAAAATGTTTGGGTTAAATTTAAATTTCTTCCTTCTCAAAAGACATTTCACAATGAGAAAATCTGCTAGCAAAGATTTAGTGATAAAGAGGAGGAATATCATTTTAAAAACTAAGGTGTACCTGACCCAGCCCTTGGTATTTTCAGACATTAAGGTGTTTTTGAAAATGGAGCAGTGAATAAAGAAGACCAGAGAAGAATTGATGCATTTGGATTGTGATGTTTACAAAAGATGTTTATTGTTTCAGTTACTGCCAAAAGAGCAAGCACATTATAGAAGTGGTACAGCCATGGTAATCCTTGAGGCGAAGACGTTCAGACTACTTGCTCTCAAATACTTTGAACATATTGCCAGAGGAAACAGCCCCTTTGACATTATACTTGGAAATCACTTTATACTTAGAACGGTAGAGGATCATGTATGGGGATGAACATTCTCTGTGAGGTGAATTGACACCATGACTGAAACAGGGTACTTAAACACAGCAGATTGTAAAATGTCACAGGATTGGACAAGGTTTCCATATGTTTTTCATAGGATTCCTGTGAGTAGAGTTGACTCAATCAAACAACCACTGTGAGATTTCTTACATATTTTTGCTTTGTTGTTATTGTTAAGTATTGTTGTATTAGAAACAACTCATACAGAAACCTCTAGTGGGTTTTCATAGGCTGTAAATTGCACAGGAGGAGATAAGCCATCTTTTCTCCATGATGCAGCTGGGTTGGCCGTGCAACATCTTACCACTGGGCCACTCACTAATCTCCACCATGATTGAGCCTGTTACTAAAGTTAGTGTGACATCCATCTCTTTGAGGGTCTTCTTAACTTTTTGCTGACCCTTCAACTTTCCCAACATGGGGGAGACTGTATGGATGGTTAAGAGGGCAGGGCTCTAATACATTGTTTATAGGGTTGTTATGAGTCATAGTCAGCTTGATTGCACCCAACAACAGCAACTTCCCATCTTTGAAATGTTAGCTTATGTCTTTATAGCAAATGAATCTCACTAAACTCTCCTCACTATGATTTACCTAGTTGTTGTTGTTAAGTACCCTCAAGTTACAGGCGACTCATAGCGACCCTAAGAAGGAGAATCCTCGACGCTTGGGTGCCTTTCATCCTTTCTCCAGGTTCATAGGGTTTCCAGAGGCAAGCTGTTATGGAAGTGGATGCCACTCCTCCTTCCAAAATTTACCTAGTATCTTTTTAAAATCAATTCCTTCATTATTCGAGACACTGAGAATTTGAATACGGTAAGATCTTCTTCCTTTTAAGCTCAGTCTAGTGTTAAAGACAAACATGTAAACAGATAAGTGATACATAGCATGTTATAAGTACTTAAATGACTATTGTTGTTATGTGCCTTCCAGTCACCTGTGACTCATAGCGACCCTATGTACAACAGCCCTAAACCCAGCTCTGTTCTCTGCCAGTCTTATTGTCTCTGACACACCTACCCTCATTACCCCAGTCACCGAATCAAACCATCTTATCTAGGGTCTTCCTCTCCTACACTGGCCCTCCATCCTCCCAAGCATGATGCTCCTCTCCAAAGATTGATCCCTCCTTGTAACTTGTCCAGAGTATATCAGATGAATCCTTAGAATCCTTGCCAATTACATATATAAAGTGATCCATAAGTCAATATTAAGAGTATACATAGGAGAGTTAACTGACTTGAAAGAATTGAGACAAATTTTATGCAAGAGTTACTGTTGAGGATTATTTTATTTATAAATAGGCCACCATCATACCCTTATTTATCCATAGTTCTTTGAAGTTCACTGCCTTTATTTCTTCAAATATTATTTCTTCTTTATCTTTTTCCTTGTACACAGATATTAGGTATATTATTTTTTCCTTTTAACGTTTCTCACCTATATCTCTCTTCTCTGCTCCTTTGTTGCATTTAAGGAGAAACTTACTTTTCTAGTCTTAATTAATTAATTTCATTAATAAAAATTGTTTATTCATTTTCCAGGGGTTTTGCCTGAGTTTATAGTTCAGAAACTTCATTTTTTTCTTTTTAAAATTTTTTTTACTTCTTCCTTTCTTTCTCTCTCCCCATCTCTGCTCTTCAATTATAAAATACTTCCCTGATTTCTGTTAGGGGTTTTTTGTTTGCTAATCTCAAGTTGTGCCAAGAAATCTGGAGAACAATCACTTGGCCAACTGACTGAAAGAGATCTATATTTGTTCCCATTCCAAAGAAGGGTGACCCAACAGAGTGTTGAAACTATAGAACAATATTATTGATTTCTCATGCAAGCAAGATTCTACTGAAGATTATCCAAAAACAACAGGAACATCAGTAGAGAACTACCAGAATTCCAGGCTGGGTTTAGAAGGGGTCGTTGGTACTAGGGATATTGTAGCTGATGTTAGATGGATCTTAGCTGAAAGCAGGGAATACCAGAAGAATGTCTGTCTGTGTTTCATTGATTATACAAAGGTGTTTGACGGCGTGGATCATAACAAACTGTGGCTGACTCAGAAGAATGGGCCAGAACATTTAATCGTGCTAATGCAAAACCTATACTTAGACAAGAGGCAGTCATCAGAACAGAGCAGGGTAACACTGCATGGTTCAAAATTGGGAAGGGTGTACGCCAGGGATGCATACTGTCTCTATACCTTTTCAACATGTATGCAGAGCAGATTATCCAAGAGGCTGGGCTCTATGAGGAGGAATGCGGCATCAGGATTGGTGGAAGATAACAATTTGTGTTATGCAGATGACACAACGCTGTTTGATGAAACTGAGTAGGACCTGAAGCGCTTGCTGATGAGGGTCAGGGACTGCAGCCTTTAGTATGGACTGAGGCTCAATGTCAAGAAGACCAAGATTCTCACAACTGGACCAATTGGCAGCATCAGGAGGGATAACGAAGAGATTGAGATTGTTCATAGCTTCAGTTTGCTTGGCTCCACGGTCAACACTCTTGGCACCAGCAGCCAGGAAATCAAAAAACTTATTGCGATGGGAAAGTCTGCTGTTAGAGACCTCTCTAAATCACTCAAGAGCAACGGTGTGTCTCTGGAAACTAAGGTGCGTCTGATACAGACAATGGTCTTTTGCAATCACTTGTTACACATCAGAGAGTTGGACAATGACTAGGGAGGATAGAAGGAGAATTGATGCCTTTGAGCTGTGGTGCTGGAGAAGAGTGTTGAGGGTACCATGGACTGCTAAAAAAAACCCAGATTCATCCTGGAGAGGGTTAAACCGGGCTGCTCCTTGGAGGCAAGGATTCTTGTGCTTCGTCTGACATACTTTGGACATGTTGTAGGAGGGACAGGTCCTCAGAGAGGGACATCATGCTTGGGAGGGTGGAGGGACGGCTCAGGAGAGGAAGACCCTCTATGAGGTGGATTCATTCAGTGACTAGGGTAATCGGGATAGGCGTGTCAGAGGCATTGCGATTGGCACAGGATAGATCTGGGTTTAGGGCTGTTGTACATAGGGTCGCGATGAGTCGCAAGTGACTTGATGGCACATGACAAACAGCAACATCTCTAGTGTGGTGTACGTCTTTCATGGTGTTAGTTATATAGTCCAGAAAAAGCTTCAGCTTGTTTCTTTTACCCTGGTCCTCGAAGGCTTTACTCTTTTATTGTTAGTTGTGGCTTTATTTTTACTAACTCATCTTTAGTTGTCATTTCACTTTCATAGACCAACTGTAGTAGCAGGGGACAGATTTCTTCTGCCATTCTAAAGCTGGAACGTTAAACCAAGAGAAATTACTTATCATTTTATCCCCATGTTATGAACAGTGAAATTCACTAATTACTGTGGGTATAAGCCAAATATGTATGATGATGTTGTTGTTGTTGTTGTTAGGTGCCATAGAGTCATAGACGACTCATAGCTACCCTATGGACGAGAGGCCTGAGCACTGTTCGTACATAGAATTTCCAGAGGCAAGCCATTTCAGAAGGAAAACAATTTAAACCTAAGGGGTTTAAAGCCCCCTCCTGCCTTAAACCTTAGGCCAAGCCTGGCTTGCCTCGCTCTTGGAGGCAGAGCATTCCTTCACATCAAACACAAGCCCAAAAAAGCACACTCCCCTCTCCCTTTGGGGCTTAAAGCCCCCTCCTGCCTTAAACCCTAGGCCAAGCCTGCCTTGCCTCCCTCCTGGAGGCAGAGCATTCCTTCACATCAAAATCAAACACAAACCCAAAAAAGCACTTGACTCCAGAAGCCTGCCACAACACCTGTGCACGCAGCACCATGCTCTCTCTGGCACCCAGAGGTCACAGCAACCCTGGGCGGAGCCAGCCAGGGAGACCATGACCACCTTCTCTCCCCTTTCCCTTTGGGGTTTAAAGCCCCCTCCTGCCTTAAACCTTAGGCCAAGCCTGGCTTGCCTTGCTCATGGAGGCAGAGCATTCCTTCACATCAAATACAAGCCCGAAAAAGTACTTGTTATGTGACATGGAAATTTTTTACAGAATTTAACTGTATGTGCTATTTTGTTCATTCTTCTCTATATTTAATTTTAGTTCAAAGTGCCATTTACTTTCAGAAGTTTATTCTGAATTCTCAAATACTGTTAATTGCTTTTATAGGGTTGTCTGTAGAAACAATATGATAAAATTCTTTTTGTGTGTCTCATTTCCCCACCAGCCTGTAAATTTCAGGGTATGAAAACCATATTTTTTATGATATGCCTGGTATCTGGTCAAGTGCTTAATAGAGGCAGGGTTGTTGTTGTTATGCTGTTAAGTTCTATTGAGTCATAGGCAACTCATAGTGACCCTATGAACAAAGTCCTGGACACCTCCTATATAACTTTCGTCCTTTCTCCAGGTTCATAGGGTTTCCAGAGGCAAGCTATTGTGGAAGTGGATGCCACTCCTGCTTCCAAGTCTGTTTTAATTGGGGAGCTTCACCAGACACTATCCACCATGGGTAACAGTATTTGACTTCACAGCAACCATGATTTACCTCTGTACAGCAAGTGGACATACCAGGGTTACACGACCTAGAAGAATGTTTCACCAAAAACAATTAAAGGCAGGCCTGAGGGCCGCAGAGGAGAGTCACCCACCTTTGGCGTGGGAGCATGGTTTCTGTCTGCTAGGCCAACTTCTCGCTCTCTCTTTTTCTATGTTCTTGGTGGTGGTAGTGTTGTTAAGTGCCATCGAATCGCAGGTGACTCATAGTGACCCTGTGAACGAAGTCCTGGACATTTCCTGTGTAACTTTTTGCCCTTTCTCCAGGTTCATAGGGTTTCCAGAGGCAAGCTATTGTGGAAGTGGATGCCACTCCTGCTTCCAAAGAGGCAGGGTAGCTATCAAATATCATGTTGAACTTAAACTAACTTTGTTCTCAACCAAATAATTTCTTTTAAAGTGCCTTTTTAAGCTTACTACTTATGGTCTATAATGATTTTGTTTTTTCCTTTACATTTATTATATCCCACTTAATAAACATGCTTCACACCTGTCACATATATTTCAGTTTAGAAAAATGAATATATTTACACTTAAAAGATACTTTGTTAGGGTACAGTACCTACATAGTTGTGCCTTGAATAATTAATAAATACAGATTAGTATTTCAGGTATCCTAAAGATTAGATATCAAGCATCAAAATATTAAATTCATCATAGATTGTAATATTCTTTTCTTCTCTTAGTTCATTACAAGCAAATCACTTTACTGGAATGGTGTACCAGACAGTGCTTCTTCCTCACCGACATTCTTTAAAAGCAGGGAGCTTGGATGAAGCAATAACTCCCAATACATCACCAGCTCAATGGCCAGGTATAAATAATTTTGTTTGTGTGTGTGTATATGTATGAGTTTTTTCTTAGTCTTACTGAAAGTTATAGAGTAGTGAAAAGCAGTTTTGGTTTGGTCTTGCAAAATAATTATTGTTAAATATTGTTAGAATTGACACCAGTTCTGTATTTATTACTCATTCCAAATTACATAATTATGTTAGTAACTCTTTGATCGTTTATACTAAAATATGTCTTGTTACATCATTTTAAATTTTTACTTTTGTCATGGTAAAAGAATTTGTTATGACTGCAGTTTCATAAAAGGAATATTTTCAGCTTTTGAGATTATAATTTAACTTAAAGGTGCACCTGAGACGGTGAGATTGGTTCAGGATAGGACAGGGTTCAGAACTATTGTGGATATGGTCACTGTGAGTCATAGACAACTCAATGGCATGTAACAACAACAACCACCACTTTTTGAGATTTAGGGAAGTTGCTGATTTGCAGTGATTTTCTACACTGAACAGATTGTTCCATTTGCTCATTTGTTCATAGTTATGAAGCTAAGGAAGAAAGTGTTAATTCTGATGTGATAATTTTTAATTTTTTTTTCTTTTTAAATACACCATGATTGGTGACTCTGTTTATTATTTGTTCTAGGAATAACATCTCTAATTCGACTTTTGAATTCTTCTGGTGAGGAAGCCCATCCTTCGCTTACAATCTTGCTCTGTGAGATTCTTACAGCAGTTTATCTTAGTCTCTTCATCCATGGCCTGGCTACACATTCTAGTAATGAACTATTTCGGATCATGGCCCATCCTCTAAATGAAAAAATGTGGTCTGCAGTATTTGGTGGAGGTGCACATGTTCCCAGCAAGGAACAGACACAATTGAAAACTTTAACCGGTTAGTTTTTAATCTTTATACTTGTTTGTTTTGTTTTTTTTTAAATAACCCTAAAACTTTATTTATGCATTTGAATAATAACTTTCCAAATGTAAATAAATCTGTTTCAAGTCACAATTAGAAAATTCTTGTTACAGACCATTTTCCCCCTAAACATACCTTTACTGTGAAAATATACTATAAAATTTCTGGTGCAGTTTTCAGTTTTTAAGATATTCAGTGCACCCGTCTATTTTAACATTAGTGATTCAAGCTAGTGTAATTTTCTTAAACCTTTTACTGTTGAAATTTTTATTTGCTTTGTAATACACTATAATACTGGTTTTTGTTCTATCCAAATACAGATTCTCTCCTCTTTCTTTGGCAGGAAGGCACTTTGCTATGCCTAGCCCCCACCAGGTAGTGGTATTCTCCATGGAGTGTGTGGGCTTTTCCAAAGCTCTTTCAGCCATCAGTTCTCATAGCCCTCCCAGTCTTGCAGGCAAGATAATAGCTTTAGAAATAGGCCTTTTCACTTCAGCTTGCTTTGTGCTGTTTTGGAGGGGCTGGGTTACAGTTTTATTTTGTTTGGCATTTAAGGAAAATTGAGAAATCTCTTTTAATGAAGCCATTTTATTGATTTAAAGCAATGATTAGCATATTAGAAAACAACATTTTTACTACTTTATTCTTTTTTTAAATTCTTGGATATTTTTCCCTTAAGCCATAACATTGTTAAGTATGTAAAAGCAAATCTTGATGCTAATCATGGTAAATCAGACTGTTGCTTGAAATAACAAAAAAAAACCTAAAAAACACATTTCAGTTGAAGCTGCTTTATGATTTGCATATTATGATTCTGGCCATTAGCTTTTGGATTTCTAAGTGTTCATAATATCTACCATGAAATGTAAATATTTTTACACGATTGTATCCTCCCCTTTCCAAAACTTTCTGTTATTAAAACTGTATATACTGTATTTATTAAAAGAAACATCAAATGGTTTCCAACACTTTCTACTGTTAAGCTTCCTTTCTATACTTTATTAGTCATAGTTGATGATCTTGATTTTTAAATTTTAATGATTATAGAAATTAGAGTTAGGAATTAATAATTTCTATCTGCAGTACAGACACACTGAAGAGTAAACATTTTTAAATGACTTTCAAAAAATAAGCTTTATGTTATGTTTTGCACAGATTGGCTGTTTATGAAGCTCGTTTCGCTTCCTCTATATTATCTATTTCAACCATGATCTCCTATCTATACTTAAAAGCTGTTTCCACTAAGGAAATAAAAAACTCCTGGACTGAGGCACAATTGTTTTAGCTTGGCTTCTATTTCCTCTCTTTTTGTTTACTTCCCCTTTCTTCAGTTATACCAAGACAGTCTTTCTAATTCTTGTCTACCCACCCATCCATTCTCCACTAAAAGGAATTTTTTTAAACAGGCAAGGACTTCTATTAGTTCTTTAAGTTTAATTTATAATTTAATGTCATTTTGAATAGAGGTTGATGAAAAGGTCCAAATTATACATAATTTAGTCTTCTTAGGCCCTTTAGTCTCCGTCATAGGTCAGCTCTGCCACTGCAACAAAAGCAGCCATTTACTGTAGTATACAAATGACCATGGTTGTATTTTAATAAAACTTTGTTAAAATAAGCTTTGATTTACTGTGAAGCATGTTCTTCTCCATTTTAACCAGAATATCTAATCTCCCTGTTAAGGAAATTTAAGTATTAGTATATTTGAGTATGTTCCCCAGTTGGAACTCATGTTCATGAAATAATACTTTTAGGATAAGTGACGTTAGAAGATAATTAGACATAATCTTCCTTACCACAGTCCCAACTTCTTTGAAAAAGCAGGGCTATCTAATTCAGTTTTGACTGTTGTATGCTACTGAAAATGCCCAAAGATGATAATAGTTTCTCCTGGAAATACTATCCTGACTGGTCCTTATCTGCCTTCTACACTTACTGTATTATTCTAAACCACTTTTGTACTTTTGTATCCCTGACCATTTCCCTTTACTCTAAATTAAACTTATTTCCTTTTGTCTTTCTCCCTATAAAAAATATTATACCAAATCTATATTTTTTAGAATTTAAATATTTTCATTATCGTAGCATCACTTCTGTGATTTTTAAAGAGCAGTGTCATATCTTTAATTTTTTTTTTTAAAAAATGAAGACTACTTTGAGATGAAATATGGGACACTGACCGTAATTAAAGAAATAGTTTTCAGAGTTTAAAGAGAATAAGATTTGTAACTTTAATGAGTTTGATAGAATACATCTCCAGGTTACAAACTTCCAACTTATAGTCAAATTACTTGCCTTTAAACATTATTTAAATTTTCCCTAACTTTGAAAGAGTTGTTGTTGTTGTTATGTGCCGTCGAGTCCTTTGCGACTTATAGTGACCCTATGCACCACAGCCCTAAACCCTGCTCTATCCTGCGCCAACCGCACTGCCTCTGACACACCCATCCCGATTACCCCAGTCACTGAATCAATCCATCTCATAGAGGGTCCTCCCCTCCTGCACCGTCCCTCCACCCTCCCAAACATGATGTCCCTCTCCAAGGACCCGTCCCTCCTGGCAACATGTCCAAAGTATGTCAGACGAAGCCCCAGAATCCTTGCCTCCAAGGAGTTGCCTGGTTTAATCCTCTCCAGGATGAATCTGTTTGTTTTCCTGGCAGTCCATGGTACATTCAGTACTCCTTTCCAGCACCACAGCTCAAAGGCATCCACTCTCCTTCTGTCCTCCCTAGTCATTGTCCAACTCTCTGATGCATAACAAGTGATTGCAATGACCATGGCCTGTATCAGGCGCACCTTAGTCTCCAGAATACTATCTTTTAATAAGATAATATTAAATATAGTGTAAAATCATTACCTTAATAAATTGCATTAGATTGAATATTGAATGGTCAGAATTTTGAACATAAAGCTAGGGAACATAAATCAATATTTTAATTTTTAATTAAAATTTTTAAACATTTTCTTTGTGCATTCAAAATCATATATTACTTGAATTTCCTCTTTCTAATTATCTAATACTATAGCACAGTTGATGTATACATGTGCAGGTTAGAATTATTTTTGTTATTAGGGTTAATATTAAAGTAGAAAAAAAAAGCTTTCAAAACCATACTTTTTTTTCTGCTAACAGTTAGAAATCCATGCATTTGCTTTGTATTGCATACTGTACAGCAAAACATTGTATATTTTATTTAAGTAAGATTTACTGTATTTTGTGGTGATTTCTGTAATTTAAGAACTTAAATTTTTATTTTATTTAATCTTGATAAATTTATAATATTTTAGTTTCTAAATTGATTAATAAAATAAGTACTTTGTTTATAACAAGCATGCCATACTTATATTATTTTAGAATGATAAATGATGATCTAGAATACTTTTAGCATTTTATCATTGAAATTAACTACAGAAAGATCAGAAAGTTCACATACTTTGCTTTTCCCATAAAAATGGTACAAAAATAAGAATTTTGTGTTTAGTACCTAGTAATTGTCCCATGGTAGTGTTCTAACATTATTTTACTGAAATATGCCTGTTTCTTGACCAAAAGAGGTAAGACTTGATCACATTTAAAACCTAGAATAAAATAAATTATTTTAAGAATATTTAAAATGCCTAACACTTTGATATATAAAAGTTGTTAACAGACCCAGAAAAGAAAATCTGGGGTTTTGTGGTTGTGTTTGTTCGTTTCAGACAGCTATTCATTGCAGGCTGTGAATAAAAATTTCAATTTAAAGTTTAAAAACAACTTCTGTTCACACATTTCCTCAAATAATGTTGTTGTTGTTGTTATTGTTATGTACTCTTGATTCGCTTGCAACTCATAGCGACCCTATGTACAACAGCCCTAAACTCCGCTCTGTCCTGTGCCAATCGCACTGTCTCTGACACTCCCATCCCGATTACCCCAGTCATTGAATCAGTCCACATCATAGAGGGTCTTCCCCTCCTGCACTGTCCCTCTACCCTACCAAGCATGATGTCCCTCTCCAAGGACCCATCCCTCCTTACAACATGCCCAAAGTATGTAAGCCAGAGCTTCAGAATCCTTGCCTCCAAGGAGGTACCTGGTTTAACCCTTTCCAGGATGAATCTGTTGTTTTCCTAGAAAGGCAAATTTTCTTTAAGAATGGAGAAAGCATAGGGAAACCACACACTTCAGAAAAGGTAAATGTTCAAACATGAAATTTTGTACATAAATACTGTTGTTTAATATCTTTTTCTTTTACTCATAAGGCCTGATGACAGAGAAAAGAACTTCTATTTCTGGCAGTCCTGCATGCTGCAGCAAAATGGCCTGAATTTGTTGTATTTTTACCATTCCAATATTTAGTAATTCTCTTGGGTATTAGATGAATTTTTAAAAGACAAAGCTTAAAGGTAGCCTTTAAGATGATTGCTAAGTACTTTAGGGAAGTGTTAAAGACTTTTAGATCTAGATAGTAAACATTAATAAAGCTTGTTCTTCCTCTGTACTTCCTCTTGTACTTCTTCCTTCTCGTGCTCTCCATTTCTTTCTCCTCCCCTGCCCCTTTCTTCTTCCTCCTTTTCCTGTCTTTACTCTTTTCCCTCCTCTCTTTCCTCCCTTCTGCTTCCTCTCACTTTCCCTTCTGTTTTCCTTATAGTCACCTAGACTCTCCCCCCTTTAAGCTCTTCCTTTTTCTTTTTAATCTTTCTCCCTTATTCTTTTCATCCTGCTTTTTGTCTTCCCCCTTTTTCCATCTTTCTTCCCACTTTACTACTTTCCTCCGCTTCTTCCTCTATAGATCACAAAACATATACCCAAATTTCATCGTCATTTCTTCCTAATCCTAATCCCCCCCGCCCGATCTTTTTCTGATAAAGTAGCCAAATCCCTTCCCTTAGTGGAGCAGTAGAGTTTATTTTTACCCAAAGAGTGGCAAAAGTTCTTGCTATATGAATATTAACATTTTTCAAAACAGTTGAACTCTTAGCCACTATATATT